GAACAGATTGCAGTTATGAAATAAATTGTTAATAATCTTTTAATATGTGTTCATCTGTGTGTGTTTGCAGCAGGCTATGCTCCTGTTGCGGGGGGTGCAGCAGTCTTCACACACTCAGGCCCAGGCTGTGCTGGGGACCTACTCACCGATGGCCTCTCGTCAGCGTAGCATGGTTCAGGTATACAACAACAAGCACCTAGAGGACTCGTTTGGCTTAAGCCTTTAGCAAACTCCGCCCCCAAAAGAAGCGTTTCAGTTCACAAAGTGCATACGACAGCAAAATCTTCCTCCACCTTCACTTCTTTTCGTTGTTCTCTTTGCAGGGAGGCGTCTCAGTGTCCTACCCACAAAGTAAAGTTGTTAATGCGGTCGGTGGAGACGCAGGGTACTGTTGCATGGTGCCCCCACCCTCCCACCACGGCAGCTGCCATCCTTCCAGCTGCACCAACCTCAGTGGCCCAGCCTGGAACGCACAGTACTGATGGCGCCTCTACGGACGATGATACTTTTAGTTCTTGTGTGATCTCGCACACACACATACACACACACACACACACACACACACACACACACACACACATATACACACACACACACGCACGCACACTCACACACACACGCTTTACACAAGCACCTTTTTTTTTCACTCCCTCCTTACCTACACCCGCCTTCTTCCTGATGATACCCACAGGGTACGTCGTTCACACTCTTAACAAGCATGTTCACACACACACACACACACACACACACACACAACCACACACACACATACAACCACACACACACACACCAACCACACACACATACATACACCAACGCACATGAAATAAATGTCCTACTGTACCAAAGCTTAATAGTGTATACCAGAGCTGCTGTATTGAATGCATAATTTATATACACAAATGGAGTTTTATATTGATATTAAATTATATATTGTGTTTTAAGGAAATGCACTGTGTGAAGAGAATAAACTGCTGTGGCTAAATTGATGATGTCACATTTCTATATTAACCTGGCTCTTTGTTTCCCTGAAATGTTGATGATGAATCTGCTGCAAGTGGGTGCAGGCGCAGAGTGATACATACACACACACATTAAAATAAAGAAAATTACTTCATGAGAATATACTTCCATTCACATCAGTGACACAGTCATGTTGAGTGCACTGTGGGGAAACAGATATATGGCTATTAACCTACCACTGACATCATAAACGTCATTTACTTATTGAGTGAACAATTGTTCTAACAAGGAAATGAAATATTTTGTATTAAAATGTTGATCATTTCAATGTAGGCTTATTAAGAAACGCGGAGTGTTCATTTCAGTCAGTTGAGAAGACGAGCCATCATTTTCAGGTTTTCAGATTTGTACAAGTCAATGCAGAAACGTGTTGCAAATTATATAAACAGCAGACACCATTATCAGTGGGCTTGTCTACCAAACAACAGGGATGAGACCACTTTGAGGCTTTAGCTCCCCCTGGTGCTTAAACACTGTCAGCACATCTTTAAACATCTTTATTTGCGCAACAGTTTATACAGCTACAGCCTTCTACCATTCCAGGCTGCATCTAACAAAGGTTTTCATTACTGATCAATCTGTGGGACATTTTCACAATTAATTGGTTAATTAATACTATTTCCTAACAGCTATTTCGCCCCCACTAAAGGCCCAGAACACTCAAATTTGAGGTCATTATTAAATAAATAAGAAACTCAATCTCTGTAGCTTGCTTCAATTAAATATTAAAATTGATGCGAAGTATATAATTTACTAATAATTAATTTCACTCTCTCTGTGTTTGGACGTGCATTAATTTGATCTTTTTTCAAAGTTAACAGGAGGAAAATATAATTTTGTTTTTCTTTACAGATTATTTTGCTTCTACTTTAAATATGTCTTATTAGTTTGAAACCCTTTTATCATCCTCTCACAACCTGTTTTGTATTGTAAACACATTTTTTGCATACAAAAAATGTTGCAAAACAAAAAATAACAAAGCACCTGTGCCTCTGTTCTATTCACAGTAAGTGACCACACCCTGAACACCAGAGCCCTTAACATGACGCTAATTAAACTAAGCAATCATTGATTTTATTTACACGTATTCACACTCAGAGCCGTCTTATACTGTATTTATAAAAGTATATGTACAATGTTCCCCTCCCCTTTGAGTGTTGAGGCTTCATTTTGAAAACAGATTTCACTTCACTTTGACTTTCCAAAAAGACAACAGCTGATAAACCAATGTGTACTGTTCTGATTCATATTCTTGCCATCAAACATATCCTTCGTTTACACAAGGGATTAGAGTACAATAATAATGAATTACTACAGAATGGAAAGCAAATTGATACAGAAAAGAAACATTTCTATATTAACAAATGCACACACAAGCACGAGAGCAGGTTCCATGATCTTTAATAAAAGGCACATGTACAGCCATAGTGAGATGAGTGAGTCCACCGGCATAGAGACGAAGCATCATAACACAGAAATACAGGAAGTAGAGGTCAGGAGGAGAGAGATCTATCTGCTTTACAGTAGAATCTATGCAAGTAACATCTTCTTGTTCAAGTAAATCTAACACTAATATGTCACCGTGGTAAGGTTAAAACCCCCTGTTCCCACCCTTTACACACACTCACACACACTCACACTCACTCACACTCACTCACACTCCATAGCTACAGCACTTACAGTCTGCTCCTTAACAAAGTCTTAAGCGGAGGAACACAGAGCTCAGAGCAAAGGAGAAGTCAAGATCACCTCATGACTGTGAGATAAGTTTGGGTTACTCCCCCATTTGCTTCTGTTTTTCTCTCCTTGTTTTGTTCACAACTCAAACTTATTTTATATTATACAGAGGCCAAAATTCAACCATTCTTACACTGGAGTACCACCTGAACCAGGTTTTCTGTATGTCCGTTATTTTGTGTGAAGTAATGAAACCCCACTTCCCAAAATAAAAATCTCACTTTGGAAGTAATCCAATCAGATGCAAAAAAATATATTGGAAAAGATCACCAAAAGGTGTTTCCCTAATCATGGCAAAAAAAAAAAAACTGATGCATCCAGTGATATTGGAAATGTGTGAAATAAAACTGCTATTGTCAGGCAGAAGGGGGATTTTTGAGGCCCTTACTGTAATGATATATGACTTTCTTTTTTCAATGTGAAAATGAAAAACTAAATAGTAACTGATCCCTTAGACTCTCTTATTTTTACAAGAATTTGTGACCATGCAAACTGAGCGGAACGTTTCCCAGCTACATGTCTTCATGTCAGTGCTCTCTTGCAAAAGAAATGTAATAGTTTAAGTTTCTTAATGACCTCAAACTGAGTTGGGACTTTCTGTGCTTCAATTCCCTTGTTTGTTTTTGTGTATGGACCAAAATACCTCGAAACAAATAGATAAAGATACAGATATAGCTTTAATATGCCTATCTAGCTGTAATCACTATTTTAAATAAATCAAAATTGTTAAATATAAAAACACAACAAGAAAAAAAAAAAACATGTGAACGATATATCTTATATAATAGAGATGTTAAATCAAGATAATGTTGTTATTGTAATAAAAGGGTGCAAATTTACTAAAAATCTTGAGAAAAATCTAAAAAGGACAATTCAACAACACTGGTGAACCTCAGCTTTTTGGGGCCCCTGAAGGTGTGCTGGTTATCCAGCCTTGCTCATGTCCTAAAGGATTGTACTGCTTTTCACAAAGAGACATGTTCACAGGAATCTCACAGTTATCTGTCTCACACACACACGCACGCACACGCACACTCAAACACCAACACTCAAAGGCAGCCAGTCACAGGCTGAAAAGCAAACTTAAAAGAATAAAAGTTCACAGATATTTAAATATGCAGGGTTAAGAGAAATAAAATGATTAGTGTTAAAGGTTTAATATAAACACAGCTGGAGGAATAAGAAAAATAAAATAATCATGCAGCAGGGCCGTCTCTCCTCTTGTTGGAGGGAAAATGGGGGAGGGGGGGGGGATGGTCTTACTTCTGTTTGGGTAAAGTTTGAGATGTAAAATAAGCTCTTCTGCCAAATCGGAGAAATAGTGGACAACAGGTACGCATAGGGTGTGTAAAGGAGGGGGGGGGGGGGGGCGCATTCTCTCACACACACATTTCAATAACATCCATTCACATGTCTAAAGAGCAGCTCAGCAGACTCAATCACTCTATTTTCACATTATCATGTCTTTGGGACATTACAATATAAGCAGAGTTTGCCACACTCCAGGTTCTGTGTCGTAACTCTTTTTTACACACTCACACACACACACACAGATGCACACACAAACAACATACACAAATATGCACGGAATAAATGCACCCAAGCAAATCTAGCTTTGTTTGGTGCGTGTGTGTGTGTGTGTGTGTGTGTGTGTGTGTGTGTGTGTGTGTGTGTGTGTGTGTGTGTGTGTGTGTGTGTGTGTGTGTGTGTGTGTGTGTGTGTGTGTGTGTGTGTGCTACCTTTGGCTGTGGGTGTCAGGGGTGAAGTCAGACACACCTGACAGAAAGCCTCCACAGGTACACACCAACCATCCCAGAATCCCCCCTCCCACACACACGTGTCTTCTCCAGGTTTAAACCCAACATTCCATCCCATACCAAGGCCCACCCATCGCCGTAGCAACTAACAGCTCCCCGTGAAACGGGTCTCACTATCTTGTAAAAGGAGGTAAGTGTAATTAGTGGTGTGTATATGTATTTGTATAAATATTTGTGTGTGTGTGTGTATGTGGAGGTATGTATAACCTGTGTAAATGTGTGCATCTGTGCATGCAAGAGTGTGTGTGTGTGTGTGTGTGTGTGTGTGTGTGTGTGTGTGTGTGTGTGTGTGTATAGGTGTTAAGAGGTATCAGTGGTTCAGTGGTGTCTCTCTTTAATCTTCATCATTCCTCTCCCCTTGCCCTCGACTACCCTCTCCTTCCTCCTCCTCCTCCTCCTCCTCCTCCTCCTCCTCCTCTCCCTTTATTTTTGGACTTGGAAGATGAACAGGCGCAGGTTGATGTTTTTGGCGGCCAGCAGTTTGTTGCACTCCACCGAGTCGGAGATGGGCAGGAGCACGTATTCGGTCTCATTGGTGTCGTTGCTGAAGGAGTGGTGGTGGATGACTGGCTTGATCCGCACGTCATCGTACGGCCCCTTAAGCAGCAGGAAGGAGCACTCCAGCGCAGAGTTCACCTGCAGACAAACACAAACACACCTTCAGATCCATGTGTGATCAGTGCCACTGTACATCACAATCACTACACTAAAGGTGCCTTCATTCTTTTTTTTATTCCTATTTCTCTGTAGATATTGTGTTGTATACTTGTATTGTATATAATTCACATATTTTGTCTTACTTCTATTTATATTTTATATATTTCTTAATGCTTAAATTCTGTAAGAGAGCGACTGCAACGCCCTCGTTGCCCCATGGGATGAATGAAGTATTCTGATTCTGAACATCATGACTGTTAACTTTACCAACAGGGTCTGAAATGACCAAAACCACAAAACCAACAATCAGGAAGAGGGAAAAAATAGAGGGCAGCATGAGGAAGCCTAGCTTGGCTCACTCTGCTCCAGTGAGGTCACCTAGTTCGGTCAGCTTGACCCTTTTCAACTAGAGCTGGTTAATGAGAGTGAAAGTAACTTTTCAATACAACCTATTCTGCCTCGTTCAGAGTGTCAGGGTGACGCAGGATTTTAAAACTGAATATGAGTTGGACGCAGCTTTTATTATACCTGAGTGTTTGGAAATCTGTTTTCACAAGACAGTGTGAAATTGAACATGTAAGACTAGAAGACTGATGTGGGAGTGGAGCTCAAATTAATAAAAACAAATGAACAGTCGTGATGTATTGGACAGGAGGCATTACAGGACTATGGTCAAGATCTTCTCGTCAATGACTGTCAGCAATCGGTGATGGACGATGTCATCCAATTCAGTCAGCCCTCGTAAATGTTCTATCTTTTCTACATGAATATTTGGTCAATGTAACCAAGAAATGAACATTTCAGTTGGACAACCATACCGACAGTGCTCTCTGGTCGACCAAAGCAAAGACAATTTTTGCCTACTATTGCATGTGCTAGTTTGAATGCAGGATCTTTTGTGTCTTAAGTTTCTTTGAGTGTGTTTTGAAAACATCAAACACAAGTTGAGGAATTTTACTTTGGTCTCCAGAAACTGTCTCTGTTAACTTTGCTGCCACTTCCTCCTACTTTGAGTTGTTAAAAAGCTGCTCCTCTGTATCAAAGCATAGCTGATCCATCTCTATCTGCTGTGTTTCTTAACATTTATCCTCTCTCAACTTTTCTGTTAAAACAACTCTGGTGAAGAGTGATGAATCACAAGCCCTAAAGACAAGCACACTTGTAAAAATTCAAAAATAAACACATGTGGTCAGAGCAGTGAGTGTACCTTGCTTTTAAGGATGAGCTGAAAGGAGAGCGTGCGCTTGCAGGACAGGTTGGGGTTGCGTTCAGAGTCGTTGACGCGGGCCTTCAGCACCCACGTCTGGTTGAGGACTGTGAAGCGCGGGGTTTCATAGTACAGGCGAGTGATGAAGTCATCAGTGCGGTATGGCCTGAACTGGACCTCTGCATGGACACATAAGTACAACACAAGATTTGAAGCAGGGAGAAAAGGCAGAACATGGAAGAAAAAGAGCAGTACTGGATTTCGCCTCTGAAGTTTTCTGTTTCTTCTTTTTTTTTACTTTACCTGTGAACCCGATCTTCTCGTAGCACAGTAAGCCGAAGATGCTGTTGTAGAGCTGCATGTCTCTGCGGTGGCTCTGGTCCATCTCTCCCAGTATTCCCATCAACTCTGTGCCACTCTTGGTGGGATGGGAGCACTCACTTTCGTGTGCTGGCAGCTCATGAAACGGCCCCTGCCAGGGACAGCCGATCCTCTTGTACTTACACTGTGTCACCCTGGCAACATGGCGACAAGTGTAACTTAAACGACAATTGCAAGAAAAAACACAAAGCTTTGCATACAATATGTTCTTTACAGAGGTGCTTTGTGATGAAGACTTTCTTGAAGCGGATGGAAAGTACTAATGATTCTAAAAGGTGCTAATTAACCCAGGCTAATTAATACTGTGATGATGATATGTGTGTGCTGAGAGCTCACTTTGAAGAAAGGAAGACATGGATTCACATCAATTAAGTCCTGGATCTAGGTCTTTCAAAAGATTACCTGTTAACTTTCCTACAGTAAAAGAGAGGTAATAATAATGTGAAAGGTACCATTTAACATCTTAAAAGTGAACCAGGTTTATTCTAAACAAGCTGATGTATGTGGACGTATATGAATGGCGAAGTTTTGTCCTACTCAAAACACCTAACAACTACATTTCAATCAAAAATCATTTAAAAAAAAAAATAGGTGTCTTCAATTTCAAATACCTCTTCCGTCATTGTGTTACATCACTGTAAACATCATTCTACATAAGGGGCAGTCACATCCTCACTGTAGCACATTTTTTTGCCTGACCGAAACCACCTGGGGACTGCCACAGTTGTTGTCATGGTAACAATTGCAGGAGCGCCTCTGTCCTGAGCAGGGTCACCTGTTGCTATAGTAACAACGCCACAGGATTTCATGTTATGCAAATTGAACTGCCCTGAGCATCACACACAATAAAAAAAAAACAAAAAAAACACATCATCAGCTGTCACACACTACTTCATCATCCCCAAAATAACACACACACACACACACACACACACACACACACACACACACACACACACACACACACACACACACACACACACACACACACACACACACACACACACACACACACACACACACACACACACACACACACACACACACACACACACACACACACACACACACACACACACACACACACACACACACACACACACACACACACACACACACACACACACACGTAACTATAATCACACTGATGATGCTGTAATTTTGTGTGAAATGTTTGAACAGCTTCCATTTTCAAGTCTCTGCCTAAACTTGCATCTTTAAAGAGTTGTTTTTTGGACATTTTTGGGGAAACTCGTTGGGCCTGATTCCTACCCAATAACCCAGTTTCGGTCGATTGGGAGATTTTTTTACACAGAAAAAAAAAATGAAAGTGTGTGCTGTATACCTGTCTTGGCACTCCTCTTTCTGGTGCCTCTCTAAGCTGGAGCGGGGGAACTGTTTTAGGCAGAAGGTACACTCTGTCGGCAGCTCACTGACAGCCTTCTCAACAGCCAGGTTCCTGCAGCACAGGTTCTTGCTGATCTCACACCTACACAAACAGGTCAAACCTCAGTGCAGTTTTATACACAACACCTGTGGCATGTGCAGAATGTTAAAACAAGTGTTTGTATCACACATACCAGGAAAGTTACATTATGTTTTTATTTTGGTGGTTATAATTATAAAAGACAAGATATGAAAACATATAGTTCATTTTCCTCAAAAGTAAAGGTTGTATAGGAAAATTTGGTTGGAGTGTTATATGTTGGTAAAAACACTGCAACCTGTGCATCTATTTCATCACAATAAACAGGCATTTATGTGTTTAAGAACATACAATTCGGTTCTGAGAGCTTAAAGATACATTGTGCTTAGTTGTTGTCTAATCAGTGTCAATGACTTTGATTGAATACATTTCTTCAGCTTTTCGCTGCATTTGTGGAAGCACAGCACAGCGGGGGAGCTCCACACAGAAACAGTCAGACTTGCACGAACACACAGCGCTGCGTTTCCCCGCTGGCTCTGCTGTAACTGTCTCGCCTTTGTACGGTACAGAGGTGGGATCCCCACCATTACGCCGTCGCAAAATTCAGATTGAAGTCGAAACATCACAGCTTGAAATGGCGGTCTGAATAGGGCTAATGTTTCACTTACATAGCTGCAATCCAAGTAAACACCAATAATAAATCCAAGGTGAAGTAGACTGAATTTCTTCCTGGTCACAAATTACATAACTTAACGTGACAAAATTGTGCTATGTGTCCAAAAATTCTAATCTACAAAAAAAGAAAAATACCTGCACAACTGCATTTTTATTTCATTTCTTTGTTTGACTTAAAGGAACTAAAAGGTTTCCAGTGGTATCTTAAGAATTCAGTCCTTACTGCATTCAGGTTTTTTTCCTGCTCTTTAAAATCAGACTTTTAATCTTAACAGTTCTAATCGCTTTCAGCTAGCACGACACACTCTCAGAGTCTTGAAAATAAAAACGTAGAAATCAAGGTAATTTAATTTGACAAAAATGTATTTCATCTAAATTATCTGTTCAAATAAATATTTGTATTTACCTATCTGTTAAGTTAAATCTGTTTAATACAGTATATCTGTCTGTATGTCACTAAATATTGAACATGACAATATTAGCTAAAGATGATCCAATATCCACAATAAATGATCAAATCAATGATGACGATGGCAAACTGTAGTTACTAGTCTTCTAGGCTCCCGATTGGCCCTGTTTGTGTTTCTATGTGTCTTCAATGTAAAGGGTCTTGTTCTAAAATCTGTTATGATTTGGTGCTATACAAATCAAAAATGATTGATGGATTGTTTAAACGGAAGCCAAATAGAGCTCTTTGTACCTGCAGTTGGGACACGTAGCCTGTTCCTCCTTTAGACGAGAATCAGCAAGAAGGTGGATAAAACAGCCCGCACACATCAGGTGTCCATTGGTACACTGTGGTGAAGAGAGAGCTTAGGGTGACAATCAAGCAAAGAAATGAAATAATAAATACTGTGGACATAAATTAGGAGGCAGGGCAGGGGAAATAACTCATTTATTTGATCTAGCACAAGCTGGAGAAGAGTCAGTCAGAAAATTGGAATTAGATACACTCTGGTTGCATCTTGTGACAAAAATGTGAATTGAATTTGTTGCAGGGGGTCGGGGCTGCTTAAAAAATGAATCTTTTCATTCTGAAGTTCACTATACTAGAACATACAATTTAGCAGTAAAATGTCAAGAGCCTGTTAATAAGTTAAAACAAGTGACGTGCTGAATTTTGTGGGGAAAAGAGACTTAGGAATGTGGTATGTGTGTAACTATTTGTTGTTATGTTGTTTGCTTTTAGTGCTGCTTTTCTTGAATACACTTTTGTTTTTAGATCTACCTTAAGGTTTTAACATTTTTTATAAGAGCATTTTACACCTGTGTTTACACAGTATGTATACTGTGTAAACACAGGTGTATACATGTTAAAAACTGTTTAAAACATGTGTGCTTTGTGTCCCAGAAGGGCATGTAAATGTGTACGATTGGATGAACAATGATTATTAGAAATTTGCTCACTTGACATTGAAAGAAGGAGCTTGGGGTCATTGAGGAGAGTGGAGGGTGGGTTGATTGAAGGCCAGACTATAATAGTAAATATATTAGTTGGGCTCTGTGTGAGTTTTTATGTGACATATTGGAGCCTGTCGTCTTTCTGGGGGTTATTTGAAGGTTACTTCACAATATAAACTCGAGCAGCTGTCACCTTTGCCTGGGAGTGTCTGGTGTCTCAGCCTGCAGCATTCAGACAGTAGGGGCCTATGTTGAATCAAGTACCACCCAAGCATATTCAACAGGTTGACTCTGGGGATCATGGGTTGGGACACATTCGGGGTTTCTAGTATGAGGAGTCGAACTGTTATGCTGTTGTTTGTGTGTTTTAGGGTTATATGGGGAGGTTTGTGATTAACACCACGTTTACCTGGTATACAGACGCCTTGGGCAAATCTAGGCACACGGTGCAGCACAGCACTGAATACAGTCTCTCCTCCAGCTTTCCTGACTCTCCTTCAGGAATCTTCACCCTCTTCTTGGGGGGCTCGTCTGGGTCAGGCTCGGGCCCTTCTCGCCGCATCCCGACCTCCTCCTGCATGGCTGCAACTCCGGCGACAGCCTCCACCGCTGCCCCCACGGCCCCGACCCCCAGACCGGCCGAGGAGGAGCCAGGGGCGGCCGCTACGCCCACGTCTCTCTCATCCAGTGAAGACATGGTGACGGCTGTCTAGATGTACCTGCCGCGACCAGGCTGAGCCCGAAATACAAGCAGGTTAGCTCAGAGCTAGCTCACAACCTGTCACGCTAATGGTCAGCTGACAGCTGGCTAACGCTAGCTATGCTAACAGTACTGTCAGAGGAATGCAGGCTAACTTATTATAATTACCCTCCACTCATGAACACAAGCCAGTGACTATGTAATAACGAGATCATGTGCAGAGTGTGATGATGACTCGTTGTGTTGACTTACAGTGAGGCTAGCGGACTATGCGGCTAGCTACGTTGACACAAACACAGCAGTCCTCTCTCCAGGCAGAACAAAAACAACTCAGGCGTCTCTCAGCTGTTGTTGTACTCTCGACGCCGTTATTCGCAATGACAGCAGACAACAGCGACGTGTAGCAGCGGCCCGACTCGTCTATCGTCCCTGCTCCGGTACCTGCTGATTGTCCAATGGACCCACGGGACCGGTCGCTTGTTATTACAGCCGCGGTTGGAGACGGTTCTGTTGGGACTCGTCTCTCTGCCTACACAGCCATCTTTGTTTTTTTTTTTTGTTTTTTTTTTTCTCCCCCTGTCCGTCTCCCCCGACTTCACCCTGCACAGCCTTTACTACTCCGGGTCAAATTCGTTATTACTCAAACAGATCCTCGATGAAATAACAGGAGTTGCGTATTCAAAAGTAAAATATATGGCGTGAGTCAGAAGCTCCTTCTGTGTGGCAGTGTCACTTGAGCAGAGCGATGCATAGGCTGACAGCGGAATGTTTTATTGTGGCTGATGACTTAGGGTATTTAAAGAGTTTTTAACGGCGCATGCGTAGTGAGCACCTGCGGGTCAGCGTTTGTTATGACCTGAAAGGTGGCCAGACGTGACAAATTTTGGGCCACCCCCCCCAATTGAGAACGACTCATACACATTTACAGTAATTATAACTTAAATATCTCATATAATACCGCATAGGCTACTGTCAACATCCCATGACAACAAATAACTTTCAAAAACCCCCTCTACAGGAAATAACTCTTTGTTTCTGCTGCCTTGTTTTTGTCCCTGTGGCAGCAATGTCACAAAGTAGTTCAACTGGTTGTAAGGTACCCAGTATTTGTCTGTGTTAAGGATGCATAAATAGCGGAAGCATTTATAAGCGTATTCTAGTTGTGTAGTTTTGCAACTTGTAGGATGGGGGGGCTGGGTGTGCGAGCTTTATTAGTGCTCTAAGGTGGGGCAGGATGTCAGAGTTTCAGCTGTCTGCAATCGGTGGTGACAGGACTAACCACTCCCATTGGACAAATAGATATGCCTTATTTGGTCTGTTTGGAATGGCAAGGGGGCCATACCACCCTCAGCTATGTACACACAGATTAACCAGTAGCTGTATGTGCTCACACTCTGTCTTTGCAATCCCCCATCATTTGCCACTCGATCTAACCCCACATTTATTTGACCTTATATAACATCCCAAACTAGGGCAAAATCCATATGATGAACAACAATTGCATACAAGAGTTTAGTGGGTATGGCAGACTTTTAATAGGACCACAAATGTTCTTGAAGTACTGATATTTTTAGCTCTCAAATGTGGTGTAAACATGTTGCAAGTGAACTGATACGAGCACAGATTTCTAGGAAGTAGTACAAAATAGAGGCTGGGTCACTGTGGTCATACATGTAGGCCTAATCAGATTAAGCTTTCACAAGTTAATGGCAGACATGATAATCACATATAATATTCTAAACTTGGTTGGCAGAAATTATAAGTGCAACCAAAACAAAAACACTCTAAACTTAAAAAGGTATTATAAACATAGGGAACAATATCAAACTACAAACATGTTGATCAGTTCTATTTCACAAGACATTGCTACTTCCACCTTATAGTCTGACAAATTTCATTTCACAACATCTCATTGTCATTTTATATATGCAGAATACATAGATACGTTGCTAACATACACTTGAGTTTGATCTTACCTCATCAATCAGACCCTATTCACCCCAAGACAGTAAATGACATCATCTGCAGTTCGTTCAAGCAATCAGCAGCAGAGAAATCAGTGGCATTGTCTGGAACAATGAAAGTGATGACCCTGATCTAATCACATGGTTTACCAGATGATTGACAGCGTGGACAAGCCTATATGGGTGGAGTGGGGTTGTTTATAAAATATGGGTTGGTGTTGCATTTATTGTCCTCCTGATTGTTCCTGATTGGTTGGAAGTGGTGAACATGGAGGTGACTGCTGTTGGCTGTTTTGTTTTGAGGGTGTTTTTATCTCTGCCAGAGGTTCAGTTTGGACTGATGGAGCACTGAGTTGACTGAGTTCAACACCCGGGCTGGTTTCGCTGGGATCTTGATCCTGTATTTCTTGTCTGCTCGGCCCCCAGTCAGGTGTTTCAGAGTCTGGAGAGGCGCACTCCGGTCTCTGTTGACTAGGTGTGACCACTGGTGTTGTGTGCACTTTGAACTGAGGGGATATTTTGTTGACTGTACATGTCTCTTGTTGTTGTGTCTTTTCCTCAGTGTGTCCTCTTACTGTGTTCATCTCACTCTGTCTCTCACTTCTCCCCTCATCAGTGATTTCTCCCATGCTGCTGCTTCTGAGTCCTGTTGTGTTCTCTGTCTCTGTTTCTGCTGAATTGGTCTGGACTTGTCTCTGGTCTCTGTCTGGTTCTGCTCCTGTAGCTGCTTTAATTCTCTGAGCTTTGTCTGTGAGTGCCCCCTGCCTGCAGGTTGAAGCCATAGCCTTCACCCAGGGATGCAACAAGGTCTGCTTTGCTGTCAGCCTCACTGTGGGATCTGGTTGAAGCAGAGCTCTGACCAGGCCTCTGGCTTCTGCACACACACACACACACACACACACACACACACACACACACACAGACAGAAGAAGCAATACATTGTTTGATTATGTTTGTATGTGAAGATATTTGTGACAGTACCATAAACTTTATGTAAGGGGTGCCGGTGTCCTCCTTAAGTCCCCATCAGGTCAAGTCTGACCTTTGGCTCCTTTCCTGTATGTCTTTACCCACTTTCTCTCTCTCTATCTCTCTCTCTCTCTCTCTCTTCCCCTATTATTTCCGACTCTATCCACTGCCCTGTCTCGCTAACAAAGGCATACAAAGCCCAAAAATAAACGTCATCCATTGTTCTTTGGACTACCATTTTGAAGCCTTGAGTGGCATTTAGCCCTCAGCATCATCAGTCACATGTGCCAAATCATTTCCTATTTTAGACTAAAGTAACTTTCAAACTAAGAGGCTACATCAACTTCATAAAAAACAGTCTTTTAGCAGACATTTTCTGTACGTTTCACCTTCTGAAATAGGATCCCAGTAGGGGGGTAGGAAGTAGAGTTGTCCCTGTTTTATCAGCTGAAACAGCTCTTCCTGGTCTCGGTCCCGACTGCGAAATGGAGGGAATCCACACAGCAGTATATAGAGAATAACACCCAGAGCCCAAACATCCACTGCAACTCCATAACCTGTTGGGTCAAACCACAGGGTTGTAATAAGCAACACAAGGGATGAATAAACAGAGTTACAAGTAAAAATGAAAGAAGAACTGACCTGTCTCACAGAGAATCTCCGGGGCTACATATGTGGGAGTACCACATATAGTGAAGACTGGTTCAGTGACGACCATGGCAAGACCAAAGTCTCCCAGTTTTAGCCTGCAAATGTCAGCAGCTACACGCTCTATCTGAGAGAGAACAAAAAGAACAAAATTAGATGGAAAAGGAGTCATAATTATTAAAATTGTAGTGTTTCATAGGGCACAGGCAGTGTTTCTGCATTTCCCTCCAGTTTTGAGCTATTACTCATGACACCGATGTAACAGCATCATCATATGGCACAGTGTGACTTACAAAGGGTCTCAACATTACACTATTTACTAAAGAACAACGGAGAGTAAGGTATATGTTGCGATTTAGCTTAACTTGTCTGTAAAAATATAAAACAAAAAAGTTATTTTTTTGAATTCCATTTTGGATATATGACATTGCTAAAGAAAGCTTATTGGTAATAACAATAATAGCAGCTTTCTCTCTCTTCTTTCATTCTCTCTATCTCTCTCCCCTATCCTCAGTGCTTTTTTTGTTTGACTTTTTGGTATGTATATTGATCTTCTGTCCTCTGAATCCTACATAACCAGCTTTGTGAAACAGACAGTTTGCAGTAACAACAGTTTGATGAGAGTAACAGTTTTGACGAGAGTACTATCGTAAAGTATGCCATCAGGATAGTATTTGAAGATGCGTTATCCCATATGAATTGTTTTGTAAACAGCAATGGCACTCACCAGCAGGTTCTCTGGTTTGAGGTCTCGGTGGACAATACTTTTGCTGTGGATGAAGTTCAGTGCATCACTCACGTCTGACACCATCAGTCCTGCCTCTTCTTCTGAAAACTTCCCTCTCTCACTGATGGTCTCAAACAGATCCCCCCCGCTCACCAGCTCCATCACCAGGTATGAGTGAGTGTGTGTGTGGTGGTGCACAAACAGCCGCACTATGCGAGGGTGACACAGGCTTCCCAGGAGACTCAGCTCGTTCTGCATCATGTGCTCTCGACCAATCAGCTTGGATCGTTCGACAATCTTCATGGCGAGGGTTTGCCCGTTGTCACGACGGCGGCATTCTCGCACCACTGCAAAGTTGCCATCTCCAACCACACGTCCTATTTCATAGTAGCGTTCAATGTCTGCTAGGGTGACATCACTGCCATCCAAGGGAAGGTCAAGGGTCGCCTGCTGCTGAATGAATTTTTGTCCCACATCTGGAAGTGGATTTAAAAGCTGTAATTGGGGAATTCTTGTCTCCTCCTGTTTGCAGATTAGCTGAGGAGGAGGACTTTTATGAACATACACTTTTTGCCCTTCCTGTTCTGTCTGGAAACCTTCTTTTTGCTTCCTTGACACAGGAGGAAGTGGGACCCTAACTGAGAGTGTAATGGGCGCTCTGATGCCTGATGTTTGGTTCTTCTTGCAAAGCAGTTTTCACACAGTGCAGGAGAGGGTATGTCTACTCCTCTATGACTTTCCTCATGTTTAAAGGGACCAATGACAGAAGGTGGACTCTCCCTGACTCCGCCCCTCATCCTTAGTCTCTGCAGGTGGTTTGGCTTGTGAGCAGGTTTTCGACAGGAATTCTTTTTCTGACACTTTTCAGACAGATGCGTGTCCATATGTTGAGGTGGCTGTGTTTTTGTGTGTGCATTAGTTTGAATTTTGATGTGTGTATTTGTGTCCTGGTCTGATTCATGTTTAGTTTGTGTCTCGCTGCTGTCCGTCCCCTCACTGAAGCCGCTATCAGCCTTAGCTGCTTTATCCGGCGCTGGGCGCAGTCTTTTCTCCCAGGCCAGCAGTAAATCAGCCTGGTAATGAGAGTGTTCTGGAAACAGCTCCTCAAGAGCCTCTTGCACACTGCTCAGATCAGGACGAGCTTTACCCAGTGCCAGGAAAGCCACTTCACCTCTGAAGAAATCACACACGCCTTTAACCTGTAGATATAAATAAGAAAAGGTATAATATAAGAATAGTTTTAATCACATACAAATCCATTAGAACCTAGACACATTAAGAACTCAATTTGTTTTACTATTATATTTTGGTTTCCCTTTATATTTATTTCATTGGAATGTCTTTATTTTCTTGCTATTCTGCAAAGTTGCATTGTAGAAATGCCACACTGTATGAGTTGTGATTGACTGTATTTGGTTAAGGACTGCAACAATCTATAATAAGAAACAAGAAACTTGGCAATGAAACCCAAAAAAACATGAACATTTCTCATTGTATTTTGAACGGTTGACCAGAGGAGTAATCTTAAAATGGCAGAAGCTCTCTGGGAAATTGCAAAGACTTTTAACAAAATGACAAAAAAGCAGCAAAACCTCAAATTTAAGGAGCTGGAAGCAGCAATAATTAAAAATGACTGTTTGGGAAACCCCTAGAACAATTTCTCATTTAACAAAACATTTTGCAATTCATTTGTTTTACATTATTTGTGATATAGAAGTAGTTGAAACTGATTGAAAAACTGCTTCTTGCCAAGTTTTTAGGTAGTGCTAATAGGAGAGAACAAACAGGTCAATCATCCCAGTCAGCTAATATGATTTTAAGAGCTTTGTAGCATATTTGCATACAAATTTAATACATTATATTCCTAAATCCTAAGCAGAACAGTTGGAAAAAGCCCCTGGGGCCAAATAACTTCTGGGGCCAGCTCCAGGTTTATCGTGTGTTAACTTGTTTGAGCAAATTTGAGAGAACATTAGCATTGGAGCACCCTTAAGCTTTTTGAGAAGAAAGGACCCATGTGACATGCTTCTTTACGTAATCTAGAGGCCCTGTGATGATGAGGGTCAAAACCTAAAAATCCTAAATTACTTTGGTTGTGTGCTAACATGTTTCAGAACACTTTGCCCCAGGTAATATCTCAGCATGCAAAGTAGGGGGTGTGGGAGTAACATGGAGGTGGTGATTTAGGGATGGATGAGTGGATTGTTTGCCCTTTAGGCTGCCGAACATGTTCCTGTGACCATGGTTGAGCCTCACCTCTCGTGCGTGGGTCGTGTAGAGGCGTGTGACTCTGGCTCGGTGCCAGCGTGGAAATCCCAACGCTTCAGAGATATCCAATAGCAGTTGCTCGAAAGACACCACACCTCTGCGGTTCAACAGGACTGTCACCTTGAGAACGGAGGCAGTTAACCTTTACTGTATGCAATTCTTTCACATGAATCGTACTCTTGAGAACCCTCTTTTCTCACAACAACCCGTCATTAAGGTCTTTGGGTTGTAAATAATTGCTTTTTTATTGGTCAATAAATAATCAACTAATGTTGCTTTGATATGTTTTAAACTTTTAATTGAAAAACCACTTGGGTTGCCAGGCTGTGAAAAGTTCATGTGCTAATTATCGGGTCTTTTGTGTTTTGGGCTTTTTAGTTCAACATTAATACGTCATCTAATCAATGCCAAACATCACAGAACCCACTTTCAAATACAATTAAGAACATCTTTTTAACATTACAAATGCAAGTTTAGGACTAAGTAATTTAAGAAGCCAACATGGTCTTATCAGTGTTTTAAAAACATCACTGCTCAATAGACATTCCACAGCCAACAACCCAAATTAATATATTTACCAAGCAATACTTTTGATCCTGGCAGATGTCTATTTTAAATTGTTGAATATAGAGGTCACCTTGCGTAATGTACTCTGACCACAAGGACGGACGATAGTGATCAAATGAGGCCTCTCAGCGCTCTCCTCTGCATGTCGAGTGTGGAAAATGTGAAGGTTAGGAGGAGGAGGAGGGAAGTTGGACTTGTGGACCTGTCCCTTAGGGTGGGGACGAAGGGGCCATGGTTGGGGTCCATCTCCTGCACACTTCAACAAGGGAACCGGATGATCTGGGGCAGAGAGCGAGGAGAACAGAACAGAGGCTGAAAAGCAAGAGTATTTCATTGAAAGTGTACTTGACATCATCATGCAATTGTGTCTTCCAGAAGAAAACGTATTAGTAACTCAACACCATTTCCTCATCTTGTGTTGGTCTGTGTGTGTGTGTGTGTGTGTGTGTGTGTGTGTGTGTGTGTGTGTGTGTGTGTGTGTGTGTGTGTGTGTGTGTGTGTGTGTGTGTGTGTGTGAAAACAAATCCGGCTGATCAGATTTGAGTGTTTTCCATCACACGGAGTGCTAAGGGGCCATTTGAGATTCTTCAGGCACCTAGCCCCACCTGAATTATTAAGGCTTCCTTAAGTCATGCAAACCCTCACACACATGCACACCTGACTTGTTTGACCTGATTAGGGCTTAGCTGAATCTGCATGATTAATAGAGCATTTGAGACCCACAACATCTTTGACGTTTCACTTTCTGGCACCAAGGGTAACAGTGAGACGTTTGCGATCCGGTCTTTGGGGGGTTGTCTTTGTTTGGTTTTGTTTCCAGATCCAGGACAACACACAGAAATACAAGACCCTTAGATCTCTAACATTAACAAGACACCAGTTGGCCTCCTGAGAGTGAGGCACACCACACACACACACACACACACACACACACACACACACACACACACACGCACGCACACACTCCGCTTACCAGACAAAAAACCTTTCCACAGTGGTAGCAGAACTTTGTTAATCATGCTTTATCTTAAATCAGATAGTTTCCCAGCTTTATTATCTCAAAAAGAGACAACTATGTCAAGTCAAGACAGACCAGCAAGTTCTTTGGGGGACACGTTAGAGAGTCTTTGTATTTTAGGGGTGAATGGTGGGTTGGGGAATACATTTTTATAATTTCAAGATCATTTCTCTAATAAGATGCCACTTAAAACATATTTCACAAAGCCTATTCGACTCTTCTTTTAAATCACAAAAACATGTGTGTGGCCACTCTGCTGTAAAGACTGAATAATAAAGATATAGCCTGGATATAATATTGGCTATAACACTGAAAAAGTTCTCAAATAATATTTACTAAAGGCCTGAAATCTGCTAATAACGTCATCTGACTCACCTGCACCTCTCCATTTAAGGTTACGCGCATCGCTTCCATACCGGGCCCTCTGTGATGGCGTCATGACTTTCCAGAGCCACGTATGAAAGAAAAGTCGAGAGAAAGGGTCATCAACTTTTTTTTTAATCACCCTGTTTTTCCTCCATTTGTTGCTGTGGTCATATCCCGGGCCGTTAGCATCCAGAAAAAGTAACGGGATGAGCTGTTAGATGACCAGATGGAGAAGCGACACTGGTTGCCATGGAGATACGTCAAGTGTGACGGCTTGAGAACGAGGAGACGGAAGCGAGCTATACCTTAAAAATAAAATAATAATCGGCCTACAAAAAAAAAGGCTTAGTAGCTTATTTTTCATAATAAGCCTTCTGTTTTAGAAGCTTACTGAAGCAGGAAGTTTGTTTTAGTAGTAGCCTACTTTAGGCAAGAAGACTAAAACAAATTGACCAAAGACATTTTATTCTGAACTTTGTGACCGGAACTTTTATGTTTTACTTTTAGAGCTTTGCTTTATTTTTTCGGATGAAGGGTTCAAAGTCCAAATTATCCAAATATTTTGACTTTATTTGGTTCACCTTATAATATTTATAATGTCCTTCTTTGACATTTGAGAGAATATGTTTAAACGACAATGGAAGCTGTTTCAAAGCCATGAGAGCAATTATAGGAAGTCATAAAAGTAGAATTATCAAAATGAGATGTTCTATTTTTTTTCCCCAAGTTTCGTTCATTTTTAAAACTGATAACAGCCCTGGTGCAAATGTTTCCCCACCTGAGAATATGGACCCCATAATTGGTTATAGCCTACAATAAATACAAGTGATGCTTATAGATCAACAGTAGAGGAAAGAAGTAAAAACAGATCTCTTCATCTAGCCTTTACTGTAATCTTTGCTGTATATGAGGCACAGATTACACTTTCTATCACCTCTCCCTTTTCACTCACAAACTTAATAAGAGAACAAAAAGCCGTTCAGCTGTGTAGCATAGGCTATATAGGCCTCATATAGGCTTTGTGTACATTTATAGAAAAAGCTAAAACTGTTATAATAACAACCTTCAAAACATTTAGGCCATGACCTGATTCCTGTTTTATTAATCAATCTGTCTGTGTCAATAATGAAAAGATGCACTGATTCTTACACAAAACCTTTTGTAACACAAAGACTGGAGAAATGTTATAGTGTAAAATCACACTGACAGAGGGGGCAGAGGAACTGCCAGTTACCATAGTTTCACTGAAGGAATCCAATACTCTGACCCCCCCCCCCCTCTCTCTCTCTCACACACACACACACACACAAATGCAAAATATACACAAAACACTCAGTGTCTACTTCATCTTTTAATACACTGCCCCCCCGTGGCTCCATCTCCTAGGTTACAGTTAATATTGGATCAGGAAGCAGCAACTCCTGTTCCGGCTTCTAATCCTGGATAGCACTCACCACCTAACCCAACAGCATGTTCGTGAATGTGTGCTGTCTCTCTCTCTCTTAAAATGAAAGTGCTAAAAGTTTATCTTCATCTTGCAATATCTTGTTTTGTACCTAAAGAGGCCTAAAGGAGCTTAACATGCGGATGGTGCAGTATGAGTGTGTAGCCAGCAGAGGGAGTCATTTTTGTGTCTATATCCAAGAAAATATATTAGATGCATTCAGGCCTGGTGAAATGAAAGCTCTGTAATCATGAGATAGTTTATCGTGTAATAACATCACAGTAGGTTTATGTGTTAAGGTTAAGATAATTTAGTGGTACGCTGTGTGGTATAAAACAGGATCAATTGATGTTTGTACACTGCAGAAAATCAAAAGAAAAGGGAGAGAAATCTGACTCAGTGTGATGTTGTCCTTGACTAACTTTGTTGGGATTTTTTTCTCTCCTCCTTTTCACCGTGTTGCTGGCTAACCAGAAGACTTAAAGAGGCAATTCATAGAATGCAAATCTTTGGCCTATCTGCAGAGGTTACACAAAACACACACAGACAAACCACTCCGCTGTTGTTCAGCGTATTCCAGCAACTGCTACCAAACACAACACAGTTTCCTTTATTACGGAGGAGGAATGATGGCTCTTAAAGAGTATACTCCATAAATCAGTTCTGATTTCCATAAAAAAAAGTTAACGGCTTATTTATTTAATAACCTTTATTGGTGTTTATTTTCCTTAAGCATTAGGTTTTGTCTTTTTAACTTAATGATTAGTCATGCAGCAAAAAGGGTGTAAGAATGAGTGCATATAAGAGAGCAGCCCAAGAAATACTGTAGAGAAAGAAATGCCTGGACTAGTGTGTGTGTGTGTGTGTGTGTGTGTGTGTGGTGTGTGTGTGTGTGTGTGTGTGTGTGTTGGTGTGTGTGTGTGTGTGTGTGTGTGTGTGTGTGTGTGTGGTGTGTGTGTGTGTGTGTTATAGAAGGGAGTGGCAACATCCAGATGTTAAAACAGTTATTATTCACACAATCACACACAGATGCAAAGGAAAGCCAAAAGCAAGCTGGAAGACACATCAACATTCCTCGGCTTATAGCTTTCACACTATTCCCTTAGCAAGTTTAGCTGTTCCGCATTTCAGGCCTGTTTGCCAGAGTCAGCTCCATGTATTCACACAGAGACACTTTAACACACGTACACTTTGATGTGCTTGGTTATAGTCTTGTGAGTAAAAGCCAAACACAGTGCATGTTTTGCCTGTACAGTATGAGGTGAAATCACATCTCAGGTCAACAACCATGGCAGCAGTCTAGCCTGGAAAATTGATTCTGTTATGTACACAAAGATTAGACAGGTTCAGCTCAAAAAGAATCCACACAAACCAAATAAAGACCTTGATCTTTTTAGCTGCAAATTTTAATGTTTCCAGCTTTGTAAATTAACAGTATAGGCAAGCTAATGCTTTTAGCATTCATGTGTAAGAATTCTTAAAGAAGAGAGTGCTTTCAGGAAAAATCAAACTTAATGAAGTATGACAACCGTGGCATCCCAGAGCACTATATCATAAGTTTACATAAGATCGAACACATATCCACATAAAGATTGAGGCTCACACACACAGAGCCAGTGAACATACTGTATCTGTGTCCAGTGAAATATTATTTCAATGACCTTTCACCTCCTATCTCTCCCTCTCTTCCTCCTTCCATGTGTCTCTCTCTCACACCTGTTTATGTCAAACCCATGCATGCCACACACTCATTCCAACACTAAGACACACACACACACACACACACACACACACACACACACACACACACACACACACACACACACACACACACACACACACACACACACACACGTGCCAGTTAGAGGAAACAGTAATGGAGGAGACCTAAGTAAGGCAACATAAGGATAGTGGGACAGGGTGTGATATGATTTAACAGTTTTGGAGCAAAATGGTGTGCGTGTGTGTTGTGTGTGTGTGTGATTACACAACATATAGAAATCATCAGACCACTCAGATGAATTTCATGATTCATTTCATTGTTAGTTGACTTTTAATTTTGAATGAATACTACTCCTGTGTATCTAGCGTATGTGTGTGTGCTGGGACATCTATTTTTATGAGGACATTGATGGCAAGAAAGGACATTTTGTCCTGTCCACACTCCTTCAAAAGGCTATCGTGGCTTTAGGGTTAACTTGAATTTACTTTTAAACCACTATAGTTTGGCATTTCTTTCCGAGGATTTAAGAGTATATCGATTCCTCCTTTGAATCTGTAAGCTGATCACAAGCCAAAGCCAGCACCAGTTGGTTTAGCAAAGTCATTGAAAGTCACAGTATCCAGTCAAGAAATCCCCCATTTTCACTTCTGTTTATGTGAATTACAGTCCTCTGCAATTTTTCATTTTACCTTCTGATGAAGCACTTTTCCAATGGTAACCGTCTTAATACCACAGTACAATCAGCTTGATAATAACCATACAGACATGTAAGTGGTATCATTCTTAGATAATTTAAAGTTCATTATAATTATGATTATAATTATTAGAGCTAATCAGCCTAACGGTTTGGAGCAAATGAATATGATCTTAATAATGTGTATTGTCACAGTAGATATTGTGACTTGTCACAGGCATAGTGACTTATACTGCAGACAGTCAGTAGGGGGAGTTTACACTTTTTGGCCTCACTTACAAGGAGTTGTTTTTTATATTGTTTATGGTCACAATGTGCAGAAAGAGCTGGTACGCAATGTATACCATCAAATTTCAGGACCCCCCAATTTTGGCTTACATTTACAAAAATAATAACAAAAAACTATTTTATATTGTATTTATTATGCTGTAATTGTAATTTATAAAAGGCTCAACAGACAAATATCAAGGATTCTGCTTCTGAAGTACTTTATGGCTTCTAAAGGACATCAACTTCTTGACCTCCAACACCATGTGTGGGAACGGTCCCACAGATCCTCCCGGTCTAACTTTTACTCACGTATTTAAAAGTTTTTGTTTGTGGACATAGAAACTAAATAAGTCCAGTATTGACAGAGTGTGCTGACAGCCACAGATTTAATTCAATCAAAGCAAGCCACCATTAAATTGATAAAAAAATATGTTTACGAAAACACACAGAAATAAAAGGTAATTTTCCTTTTAATTCGAAAATGAAAGATTTTACAGTATCTGGACTAAGACTAAGGCCGAGAGCTTTTATCCCATAAAGTCAAACTTTATTTGAGTGACTAGAATGAAAGAGTGAGATTTTTTTTATTTAACTCATAGCTCGAGTTTTAATCCTTTCCCGTTTGTGTTTGTTTGATTTTTTTATTTGTTTTTTTTGTTCATAGGTTCTTCCTTCTCTTTCTGGTATTAAAGTCTAAGACTTGTCATGTTCTTTCTGTTGTATTAGAAAGAAAACCTCTAGAAGAACCAGGCTGTAAATAGATGTCTGACTCACTTTAGTCTTTTATTTTCTTATTTAATATAAATATAAATTCTGTATCTATACTGATACGTCTTACAATGAGATATGTAAAATGATGTGCTCTAGGCATTAAGAATAATGAGTTAGAAAATAACTCATAGCCTACCTACTATGCTATTACTAAGACTAAATAACATAACTACATACAATAATAGGCTAAAACAAACAAAGTCGTGCTAACAAACAACTAAAAAACTATAGGCCTGTAGATATTTCATTTAATTATAACATTTTAGCCTGC